ATAGTTCTGGGCCGCACGCGACGCTACACTGATGTATTCAACGAGTTTATAGCCTTGGCCGTACAGGCCCGGGTAAATCTTTGAAATTTCATCGTGATGGGGATAGATCATTGCAATTGTTGGGCATCAATTAAGGTGCATAAATAGCCTTGTAAGATCTATTTAGATTCAACTCTGATGGTTTTATGGCCCGTCCTAATCTTTCAGGTAAATAGAGTGTTATGAACTACTTGCTTTTATGTTTTAATGTTTTTGGTCTTGTATGTTAAGGTACATGGTGGGAAAGGCGAACAGAAACAAAGACAAGTCCATCTGGGTGGTAATGCACAACAGGTGAAGCTTAATTTTTATTTACTCACTTCTTTCGGTTTGTTTATGCTGACTTCTTGTAATCTTATTTTAGTAGTTATCTTTTTAGTGATACGCGGTTGTGTACATTCCTAGATTCGCTAACGATTCACTTCTAAAATGAAACTGTCTTGGAGGATTTGATCTTAGAATAACTGTAAAAATCTTCCGCTAGCGTCTTGAAATTTTTCACTAGTTTACCTGTGAAATAGGGGAATGATGGGATATCAAGAATTTCTGGTCCTGTAGCATATGCTTGAATTTAATTCTCTTTTCGACAGGTCGCCCTTGCTAAGCAACGAGTTGATGAATATGTCTATTCCCAGTTGATGTTACAAGCTGGTGGTGAGCAGCTACAGGAGACAATGCAGCTACAGCAGACAATGCAGCTGCAGCAGTCAGTGCACCTGCAACAGTCAATGCAACTGCAGCAGTCAGTGCAGTTGCAACAACAAATGTAATTTTATGTGCCGTATAACTTGTAATTGGTTTAGACTTTTAAATGAATAATTGGGACTTCTGTGTGGTGTCTTAACTATTATGTTGCTTGATGCAGACCAGACCCATCTGCTACTCTGATGCAAGGATATAGTCACGGTCATGGACTTTATATGAACAGGTAGTTATAAAACCTGATTGTTATCCCATTATCACTGCACTTCTAATTGTCCTTCAGAAAACTAATTATCATTTCCTTGCCCCAACAATCTTACTATCACAAAGTTGCTATTATTTTTGATCTGTCATAGTAAAATAAGCGAATTTTTTGATATGCTAACGTTGTAGTCTGACACTGAACCCTAAGGTGATTATGATATATTTTTCTCATGCTCAATTGGACTTAATAATTAGCTCTGTCAGAGTTTATTTTTAGATCAATGACTTAGTTGACATGCCTTTTTGAAGGTAGGGGTAAGGTATACGTACATACTACCCTCCCCAGTTTCCACTTGTGGGATTACACTGGGTCTGTTGTTGACTTAGTTGACATGATAGGATGTCTATCCACTGGTGGAAGGCTATTTTTTTGGTTATCATGAAATGACAATAGTCTATTCTATATTTGCAGTAACCAAGAAGCTCAAATGATGTCATCGTACCCACAAGTATACACATCGAGCACCCCTCAAGCTCCTGCTTACTATGGTCAGTCCTATCCAGCTCCACAAATGTAGAGGTTAAAGGGGGTCTCTTTTTGGTACACCGGCTTTTGAATCAGATGATTTATATACAAAGTGTTGACAATTTCTTGTTGTTCCATTAATTTGATTTATGATGTAATGTCGCATTGGAGATGGTCGCGATTTGGCCAGGATGTGATCAGTTGCGACATAGTTTGCATGAGATCACTTAATTCTGGGATATTGATGGAAAAGTTAATGCCTAAAGTTTTATGATCAACGGAATCTAGCATGCGCCTCTGGGAGCAGCAGATCTAGTGAAGGGAGCTTATAGTAGCAGTTGCAGTGAAGGTACAGCACAGCCCCTTGGATTTCTGTCCCTTTGTTCCCCTCTGCTTCCACCCTGCCCCGACCCTGAAAAGCTCCCAAACCCCGCCCTGGTTTACCTTTGCTGCTTGATTTTCATTTACCTCTGTTGTTTCCATCAGAACAGAAACAAGGATGCAACGTATGCATTGCACGTCAGTCGCGGTCACCTCTCGTTGAACTGATTTCTAAGGGAGAACTTAAAAACATTTCGTGCGAATGATTTTGGAATGAGATGACCGAGAATGGTGGCTGAGGGAGGGCTGACGGAAAAGCAGAGCTCGGAAGTAGTGGCTGTAGCTGCAAAAAGATTGGACCCTAGTTCATTGGTTCAATAACTTCTTTTGGCGCCAAGACCACCATTTCATATCCTATCCACCCACTTGCTCCCTACCCCGTGCCATAGAGCTTTCCCTACCCCCATCCGGCCCAGCCCCGTTATGCATATCATTCCCGTAACCCTGCCCAGTTTTGCCCCCTTGTATGTCCCCCGTTGGAAACTAGGGTGCTAATGTTTTCAATTGGTAATATATTCAATGCAAGTTTTCTTGAAATATTGCTCATCTTATGCTCATCTTAAGTAAGATGTTATTAATTTTTAAAAACTTATTCCAACTGAGGCAATTGTTAACATTATTCTATAACCAATATAGGCATTTGAAAATAATGGTGTCTTTTTATCTTATTAAGTATATTAAATACTCCTGATCTAAGTAAGTTGGAGCTTGTCTAATGAAAGAAGAAATTTTACAAAGTTCAAAGTTGGAAAAGAATTGACTCAATTAAGTTTAAATGAATAAGATGGAAGAAGCAGGAAATAACTGTAATTTTAATTATTTCCTACTTTCATTTGTAATTATTTCAGCCAAATTCATAAAAACAGTAAAGTAAGAATTATGTAATTGATAGACGAGCTAATATCACTAATACAAATTGTAGTCTCATTTCAAATGCATATATTTTGTATCTATCAAGTGGGTATACTGTGACCTTGAAGAAGAAACTTTACAAAGCCAAAGTTATAAAGAAAAATTGATTCAATTTAGTTTTAGTGTATAAGAGGAAAGAAAGTTTTAGTGAATAAGAGCAGAGAAGCAACAAGTGACTTCCAGTTTTAATTATCTTCCATTTTGATCCATAATTACCTCAACCAAGTCACTAAAAACAGTATAAAGAAAGAAACATGTGATTGATAATTGGTTAAAATATTACAGAGTAATAATCTTTTGAGTTACATATCTTATATCGAATAGAATAGTTTAAGAAGCTTCCAAATATTTTTTTCAACTGCAACTTCAAATACTACTTTTGCAATGCTTCTGATACTGGATTGTACTTGAATTGCTTATCCAAATTGTTTGAGAATTTGTTCACGGGCGGCTCTACCCATAGGACAATAAAACTCTTGCATTAGGACAACTTGTACTTTGACATTAATTTCATGTGGAATAAAATTAAAATTTTATTAGAGAAAAATAATATTTCACTTTAAATTTATCAATATTTCAAAAAACGAGGCTCAAGATTTTATATAGATACTGATGACTAAATCAATACTTGCAAATAATGAACTTCAGTATTTATAAGTACAGAAATAAATACTGATGGTTTGAAAGTTGGAGCACCAACTGATTACCGAAATGGACTTGGTTCTTTATGAGCAGTATATAGGAAACTTACACCAATGTCCCAAATAAATCTCAACTTACCAACCTCTAGCCATTAGTCATAGACTTATCAAAACTAGCCAACAAAAATTGAAAAACCAAATAATAGGGTTCTTTCTCTCAAAGAATCACATGCAAAAATCACCTTCCATATTTTTAAGCGTGATTAGATACAAGACGGAAAGGAAATTTCATGGACGGGGTAGCAAATAAGGTGATGAAATACAAAAATCTATACAATATTCCAAAAATCTAAATAAAAAAAGGAACTTTTTCAATGGGTATAGTTGAAATTCATTGAAAATATATAGA